ACCTGGCTGCTCTAGTGCTGGGATAATGGGATGACCATGGAATTAGAAGGCAGGGAAGCCAAGCTGCTGGGATCACAGGCTGAGACCATCAGCCTGACCAGAACATGCTGTCTGTATGTAACACTGAAATTCCTCCAGCAAGAATAAAATACAAGTTCTATCTCTATGTACAAAGGTTGCAACAACTATCTTACCTTACAGAGGACATGCAGGGAACCTTGCCAACTCTAACTTCAAGCACAAAGTTTACAAGTACTTATGTGATACGGCACTTGAAGTGAAAACTAGCCCTGTGCTTCCAGAGGTGCAGCACAGAGCAGTGACAGTCCCAGCTCAGCTGCCCTTTTGCACTGCTCCTAAGCAAGGCAGCGTGATGAGAGACCATTTGCCAAAGGGTACTCCCGGCTGAGAAACTGCAAATTCCAATTTACAAGACTGAAACTCCAAGGCCACCAGAAAAATGTTGCTCCTCGTTGCTCACAAGAGCCAAAGTTGGTCTTAACTTCCCATACATCTGGAAATCAAAGAGCTCAGCCAACACAACACTTCATTGCCTACACAGTGAGATAGGAAAGCTGTGCAGTGATAATGAGACTGCACTGACAGAAAGCTCACAGCTCTTCTACCACAGCTGACAGGGAAGGTTCCAGATGCCTACTTTCCAGAGACTTCAAATTTTTCTAATACTAATAAAAGCTAATCAAACATTTGTACGTTACTTGCTCTCCTTGCCAAGCTGTGTGCAGCTGTACTGGACATCTGAGCAGTAGCTGGGGTTATGTAACCTACCCCTGCCCCAAAACCAACTCAAAGAGAGCATTCAGGATGTTATCCAGCTGCAGGTCGAAAAGAACATTACCTAGGAAGTTCCTCAGCAAGTGTAAGCAGCAGAGTAGAGTCTCTCTCAGAAGTATATACATACATATACCCAGCGTAGCATGTTCAGTGAGTCATCAAGAACAGCAGCTCTTCAACAGTGAACAGAGACTAGGGACAAAAAATACATTCCTGTAGCCAAGTGCATTTGAGAACTAGGCAAAGACTGAAAAATACAAAGGCTTAATACATTTATTAGTAACTGCTGGAATGTACTTTAGAATAGGCTACAATCTTCATGCACAAGGAATTCATGGTAAGTACTGGCCAAGCATTGCAAAGCACAGGTTAAATAGAAAGCTGAAACAGCATGCACAACCTCCACAGGCTTATTAAACTTCTGAGCATGTAAATCCATCTCTCTCTTGTCCAACCAACCTGCTTTCAGTCCTATTTAATCCTACAAAGGCCAAAATTAATGTTTTAGAAAGGGACAGGAGACAGCAGCTATTTGCTAGTAGCAGGCAGGAAGCAAGTCCAGGTGATAGTTCCCTCCCTGCTCAGGGGTTAATTCCACTCCACTGTGAGCAAAGCTGTCAAGAAGAAAACTCAGCTTTCATCTCTTACTGCAAAGGAAACAGCAGATGCCTATAGAACATGTCATACTTCAGACACCTTTTTCTTCTGAAGGGGCCATAAAAGCAAACGAGTAACCTAACGTGACCCAGGTGGTTACAGAACTCCCTACATCTCCACTTGATCACAGAACAAGCTAAGTTATTATATGTTCATATAGGTACATACTTGCTAATAACAAAACACTAATTAATTACAAAGCTTGCTGGCCAGGAACCTTCCCATTCAGCTCTAGGTTTTATTACCTCTCTCAGTACTTCCCCATTAGTACCTCACCCTTCACAGCCCAGCAAACACTACCATGACAACGATGCTGCACACCCTGTGAGGTACAACAGGCCCTCAGACCACACACTGACATTCCCTATGGCTGCTTAGCATCCTTGCCTGCTGGACACCCCTCGGATCAGGCCCTAACTCAGAAGGGCAATCGAGAGATTGATCACAACTCAAGTCAACCTGACTAGAAGCAAAGTTCAAACCTTTTTAGGGTAAAACCCCTCCTTAATCTGTGCCTGAGACCAGGCAGCTTGTGCTGTTCCACATCTTTCAACTCTAACACACCAGTACAGTCACTGCTACAGCTCTGCTCTGGACTGACCAGGAATCGCTGCTGTGATGAGCAAACCTCTGACATGCAGGGATTGGGTGCAGCTTTCACTCAGATCTAGGGTATTTTAAATGTTACCCCGATGAGCCAGCCCATAAACCAGCTTTTAGTACCTTTGCTTCAGAGACAGAACAGCGGCTTAAACGCAGCTCCATCCTCTGGAAACGAAGTTACAGACTCAGCTCAGTTGCAGCAATCTGCCCACGAAGCATCTCTCTGTGGCATTTTTCTAGTACTACAGCAACACCCCAGTAACCAGCAAGTTCCAAAGGTAACTAAAATGCAGGGTGTGCTTACTGATTACCTCACCTGCTTCCATGGCATATTCTGCTGGGCATCTTCTACAACTGTGGCAGCTGCCAAACAACAGATGAAATCCATGCTTATTTTCTGAATCATTGTAGTCCAAAACACAGAAAATGCTTCCTTGACCTTTGT